GAAAATCTACTTCCCATGGTGTTACTCTGATATGGGGGGTGGGGAGCCAATGGAATTAGATCATGTAATTTATACATGATTTTCCTTTTATAAAGGCTGTCACTTCATTCCACTGAGCCCTAGCTCTATTACAATACCATTTATATAGCAACTAAGGCACATTAGCCTATAAGGGGATTGACTTGCACTAAAGTATGTTTCTTACTCACAAATCTATTTCTAATTGTCTAAATAGATCAGGTTAGGGAAAGTATTTTACAAAATTAGATTTTGTTTGAGATTTGATTTCCCATACCTGGAGAGAGAAGAGGATGACCAGCAACAAAGTGGATTGACTTAGTTACAATGGCAATGATACTCCAGCAGACTTGGTCATAGGAGACTTGAAAGAAGAGATATGGGATAGATTGTCATGAGGGGAAAAAAATCAATCCATATGATTGCTATGTAAGTATGTATTATGTATGACTTGATCATACATAATAATTGACTCCCATGTTTCATCCTTCTTTTTTTCAGTGAATTTCAGCGATAATTTTTAATCTGCTTTCAGTCAGCTTTCTCCTATTTTTGTTACACAATATTTCTAGCTGACATGGCTTCTTACTATTTCACTGTCAGTCAGTTGACTTCTTACTGAGTGCCACAGAGACATAAGAGCCTCAACATTCAATCTTATTGACAAAAATATTAAAATGCTTTGTTTTTTCAGTCTCTCAGACCTTTTCCTTCCCAATGTGTGTGCATATTAATAAATGTAGAATTTAGAAAATGTAGTAGACATATTGTACAATTCCAGTGTAGCTTACATCTAAGGCAGTGGTTCTCAATCTGTGGGTCGGGACCCCATTTGGGGTCGAACGACCATTTCATGGGGGTTGCCAAACAACACAGTCCGCCATTTTTCCCCCTTTTCCTTAGCTGTGCTACTCCCTTTTATTCTATTGGCTTTTGAAAGCCAATAGAATAGACTCTCTTGAATAGAGTCTAATTCTATTGGCTTTCAAAAGCCAATAGGAATTGTCCAGGCTGTCTCTGCCCTAATGAGCCCGCCAAAAGTTCCATTCTGCAAATGGTGCTGCACCAGTTGAGTAGTCCTCGACTTACAACTGGTTGAGTAGTCCTCGACTTACGACCGGTTGGGGGTCACGGCATTAAAAAGGTTGAGAACCACTGATCTAAGGAATCTAAGACAGGACTTAAGTGTCTGGAAAATGCTCTCAGGGTGATAATCCCCTGTGGAACAGCTTTGATCTTGGTGGGCAAGAACAGTCCTTGCTATTGTAGCCTCGTAGACAATGGTTAAAATATGTGTTACGGGGAAGACCATTGCTGTTTAAGGTGGTTTAGAAATCTTACAAATAATGAATAAATAAACTTCTGAGGTTGCTATCAATCATTCTTTTTAATCTTTTAGGATACTCTCTTAACATTTTAATTTATTACCCTCTGCTTAAGATTGGCATTTTCCTTTGTAATAGACTCATTTCTACTTTTAAAAAATAATTTCTAAATCAGAGCAGAAGATTTTTGATGGTTGACAACTAGTTAAGGGACAGTGTTGTTCATGAATATCTCATTGGAGACTCATCCATAAAACTGTTGGTCAATCCCTTTCACCCTTAATGAACAATGTTTTTTTAAAAACAAATTTTATTGGTTTTTCCAGTTTTACATTAAGTATTCGGGAAGCAGCGTGGTGACTGGATAATCAGTGGTTCGATAACAAAGTCTTTGGTGCATATCTCAGGTTACATCATCAGAAATTCCTTCTCTATTTCCCTTAACATTTGCTATATCACATTTAGGCTAGTAGATTTCTAATTATAACAAACTTAGTTAAAATATTTATCAATATATTTTTTGCTTATACATATCCATGTCCTGTTTTGAGTTTTACCTAATTTTTAATTACAATATTCCAATTTAACTTTAATATCCATCGTGTTTGAGTTTCGGGTAATCCAAATTTCCTTTATTTCACTACATAGAAGTTATCATATCTAGAATATACATATTACTTACTTAAATATATTCTTATCTTATTTCATAAACATTCTCTATTTCTCATCCTAATACATCATCACTTACTAATAGAGTAATGAACAATGTTTTTTTCCCTATAAGGAAAGAGGTGTAAACATGTAAGAGAGTTTTTTGATGTCACTGTCAGCATTTCTGGAAAAATTTCATGTCCAGCAAGACTTCATCTAGATTTGCTATTGTTTAAGGGAAGTGAGAGTAAAGCATACGGTATATTAGTAGTTCATATGACAACTCTTGCATTTATTGAATAAACAGGAAATGGGACAAGGATCGTGTGATTAGTTTGTGAATTGCTGGTTCATTTTAATGGGGGAATATAAAAAAGAAAGTTCTTATCAATATTACAACATAGTTACGACTCAGATCTTCACCTAACCCAGGGGTAGGCAACCTTGGCTCTTTTACGACTCGTGGATTTTAACTCCCAGAATTTCTGAGCCACCATAGGGAGTTGAAGTCCACGAGTCATAAAAGAGCCAAGGTTGCCTACCCGACCTAACCAGTTCCTCTGTAACATTGTGCTCCCAGGGGTGACATCTGTACCCACCTTTTTGGCCTCCTGAAAGGTGAAGAAACCACCCCAGCCTTTGGTCGACCAGTCTACCCCCAAAAAAGAATATAATATTCTCAAAGACAGTATTTCAGGGCTGTTGCTCACTCATCTGCCTTCTGTTCAGTGATTAAAATATATCAAGTTCATGTCACTTTTGACTGATTCAATTGGTGCCTGGTTTACATGAACTTAACTTAACTTTCAGTAAAGCTAAAGGGGAAAAAAACAGAACAAAAAGTATTTTTAAGTCACTTAGGGAGATTCCAGAGCAGATTCAGAAACTGAAACAGCAGGACTACTAGTGGTTTTTGGAAATGTAAATCTAAACAACAGATCTTTCAGAAAAATACTTTCATGCTTTCCAGACATGCCAACTACTTAGAAATTCCAACTAATGTTTTTTAAAAACTGAATTGGCAGGAAAGCGTATAAACACCAGGCCGCAGTGGAAAATCAGAATTTCCAGAACATGAACAAAAGATCATTTGTTTTCTAGATCCTAGAGGATATAGCAATGCAACTTCACTTTTTTGTAGTAGCTGAGTGTAATATTAAATCTAGGATCTGCAATTACTCTGAAATTGTTGAGCATTGTCCAAAATGAAGAAATCATTGGCTACTTTTCTAATAGGGAATACATTTTGAAAGTGGATTATTGTCGCTATTGCTCCAAATCAAACCCTAATACTAATCATATAAGAATAAACAGAATTTTCAATAAAAAGCTGGAATTTTCAATAAAAGAGCTGTGGATGACAATAAAACAGCAAACAACTTCGAATTAAATCAGACTTATGAGCCACCCATAATGAACAGAGGATATCACTAAACACATTCTTCATCCAGTCTGTATTACACCTGATCCAAATGGATATGCAATCTTCAGTTTACATAAATTATTTTAATTTCAAAAGTTCACACATATGCCCTGGCAGTCATCGGATACCCTGCTGGTATAATGAACTGGTCAAAAGAGGACATGGAAGCTACCAATGTGAAGACCCAGAAGCTCTTCAAAATGTACAGAAGTTTCCACCCCCAAGTCCAACCTACATGCACTGTACACCAGCCAAAAAAAGGCTACTACACTAATTAGGACCCAAGGTGCAAACTATGCAAAATGGCTTTGGAGACAGTCCAACACATAGTGGCAGGGTGCAAGATGCAGGCAAGAATATCAGTAGGTGGCATTGTGCAGGAACATTTGCAGAGTGTATGGGCTAGCTAGACTCTGCCAAGTCCCGATGGACGATCCCACAGAAAGTCATCAAGACTAACAGAGAATAATGGAGAAATGGAGATGGGCATCATCCCCTTAGAGTCAGACATGACTGGGCAGGAGAAACCTTTACCTATATTCCATAAAGCATAAACTCCTGGACTTTCTAATGCAGTGGTTCTCAACCTGTGGGTCGGGACCCCATTTGGGGTCGAACGACCATTTCACGGGGGTCGCCAAACAACGCAGTCCGCCATTCCCCCCCCCTTTTCCTTAGCTGTGCTACTCCCTTTTATTCTATTGGCTTTTGAAAGCAAATAGAATAGACTCTCTTGAATAAAGTCTAATTCTATTGGCTTTCAAAAGCCAATAGGAATTGTCCAGGCTGTCTCTGCCCTGCTGAGCCCGCCAAAAGTCCCATTCTGCAAACAGTGCTGCACTAGTTGAGTAGTCCTCAACTTACTACCGGTTGAGTAGTCCTCGACTTACGACCGGTTGGGGGTCGCGGCATTAAAAAGGTTGAGAACCACTGTTCTAATGCATGCTGCAAAATATGAGGAAATACAACCAAACATTAGGACCAGTGCATACCTATTGTTTATTTATCAAATTGGTGCGCCACCCAGCTCGCGGTGACTCTGGATGGTTCACACAAAAACAAGACAATTTCACGTAAAAATAAATTGCAAGAATAACAATAAGACAGGAACAAAGCAATAGCCTGATGCAATGATTGACATTATTGCTGCTAATGATCAACCTGAAATAATATGATCTCATAAAATATTCTGGAAGATTGCATGAGTTGAAAGAAACAAGAGTACAGAATAAGTAACCGATCAGAACAATAAGCATCTATTTAGAAGAACGTCCCTCGGTTTCGGATAAGTCCATTTTTCTATACTTATTAAACAATGGAGAAAAAAACTACTTTTATGTAAGACGTGACACAGTTTCTACAATGCAGTCCTTGCTACCTAGAAAGTTAAACTGGGTATTTTCAGCTGAGCTGATGCAGAAAGTAGAAGGCAATTATTATTTTTTTAACCCTAGTTCGCCAGATTCGATGGGGAAGAAGCACCACAGTGCACTCATTTGCAAGCAGCAGAATATTTTGAGTCAGCAAAATATCAAAGGAAAGCATCATATTGCAAATAAACGTCTTTCTAGACAGGAGCACGAGTGAGGAAAGACAGCCCACGGTTGATGTGTCGTTCCTCCCTCTCCGCGAAATTGAACGCGGGGAATGAAGTGAAAATCTTTTAATAATTACAGAATAACAAAGCTGGAAAGGGACCTTGGAGGAGCCCCAACTGTGCTGGTTGAAAAATGTAAAAAAACGCGGTGCGCTCTGAACTGAGAAGGCTGCGCAGTTGCTTTAAATCAGGGCTACCCCGTCCCTCCAGGCCAACTTGAGGCAGTTTGCGCAGAAAAACTTAAAATTGAGGCGCAACTGCTAAGCCTAAGAAGGGGGGGACCGCCTGGGGGGCAGCGAGAGGTGTGGCTATCGGGAAGGAAATATCGAAATCTAAATCTGTCTTCGACTGAGGGGAAGCCACCGCCCACACGCCCCAAACGCTGCCGCCTTCCGCTCGGGGACGCCGCGCTGGCTCGTTCGCAGCCGCTTCTTCCGAGGAGGCGAATCCGACGTTGCGGAACCGTCGGAGAAGTTGCGGGAGGCAGCCGGGGGCTTTGGGAAGCTCGCCGAGTGAGTAATAACGCCAGAGGCGTGCCTTTTGTTTCCGCGTTTCTTTTAATTCGTTTTTTTTTTTCCTTTAAAGATTAAAGCTAAATTCATGAAGCTACCTAGCAACCAACTCGGCGTAGAAAGCCGTTCCGTGTGAGTTTGCGAATCAGCCTGCGTTTTTGTTTTATTTTATTTTTTTTTATGTATTGCCCTCTGTGGGGTAACTGGAATTTTAACAGGTGCAGGAAGACGAAGAAGACAGCAAGAAGACGCGGCGGTAATGTAGACCTGAACTGTCCTGTGATGATGTTTAAGTTATGTATGTACTGATGATATGAGAGGCGTCTAAGGTGACTCTTACGAAGAAAAACATGCTAGGAAAATGTCATGTGCCTTTAAATATAATATCTCAAATGTTAAAGGTGAAATGGCGATATTGTGCTTTGGGGAAATACATCAATTGTGTAGAACCACTACTGCTCCCTTTTATGGGAATCTTACAAAGATTTCATTTGTAAGTGATGAAGTCAGATATCCACACAGGACTTAGCCCAAAGTCATATGTGGGCATGTATGCTCATACATGCTTTACATTCGTGCAATGCAGTATATTGCATGTAATGCTTTTGCTGGTAATTTTCATTTAAAGAGTGAATCAATTATGTTGACTAGACTAAGCCCCATCCTATCATTCGGTTACTATGAGTCCTCACATTTCTTGTGATGTGCAAGATGTGATGAATTCATATGCTTTTTTTTTTAACCAGAAAAAAACACAGTAACTTTGCTAATAAAAATATGTCACATCTTTCGCTTTGTCTGCTGTTCTCCTAGTGTTTATGTTTGCATTGGCACCTTTTTTTCCTGGCTTCACTCATCGCTTAGCAGAGTTAGACTTAATCCTGTTATAAATAGTTTAGACTTTATTCTCAGTCTCTGAAAGAACATATTAGTTTCAGTTTCTGTTGGTTTCCTGTCTGTGTGATTTGTCTGCATTGCTGAGGAATAGGCAGAGAGAAAGTAAATCTGGATATTCTCCTAATGAATAGGAGTTGTGTGGCTATGAAACACTGGTGGAAATAGAATTATGAAAATAAAATAATTCTTTATTGCTAATACAACATGGACTGCTCATCATGGTCATGTTCTTGTCTATACACATTGTGTATAACTGCTATAGACGTCTACCTGCTAGTGATAGATCTGTTGGTTCTTGGAATACAGGTAGTACTGAACTTACGGCAAGTTATGAGCCCAAAATTTATGTTGCTAAGTGAAACATTGGTTAACCGAGTTTTGCCACATTTTACAACTTTTCTTGCCACAGTTGTTAAGTGAATCATTGCAGTTAAGTTATTAACATGGTTATTAAATGAACCTGAGTTCCCCATTGAATTTGCTTGTCAGAAGGTCACAAAAGCTGATCACGTGACTCCCCAGGACACTGCAACCGTCGTAAATATGAACCACTTGCCAAGCATCTGAATTTTGATCACGTGACCATGGGGATGCTGCAATGGTCGTGTGAAAACCGGTCATAAGTCACTTTTTTCACTGCCATGGTAACTTTGAACGGTCACTAAATGAATTGTTCTTCAAGGTCCACTGTGCATTGGCAACAAGTTGAATCTATAGTCTTGGATGCAATGAGAAGTTGTCTTATCTGAAGTTTCCAGTTCATTCAACCTAGTATTCTCAACACTGATTGGCAGTGGTTCATCCAGAATTGCAGCTGGAGCATCCTCAGCCATTGCCATAGAGCAGGGGTAGGCAACCTTGGCTCTTTTATGACTCGTGGACGTCAACTCCCAGAATTCCTGAGCCAGCTTGGCTGGCTCAGGAATTCTGGGAGTTGACGTCCACGAGTCATAAAAGAGCCAAGGTTGCCTACCCCTGCCATAGAACTACAGCCCCACTGGGTCTATCTATTTCAAGGGCCATTTTTCCTTTAATCTATTGGACATCAGAGATATGATTGGTTGGGTAGGGAAATTCTCTGGAAAGGGAAAGGAATCTGTAGGCAGGAGACCATTTCAGAATTCTTCACTTGTGTTCTTTGGTGTCTAAACTTAAAGCAAATGTAGAACATGTAATCCTATGTAGTCTGCCCCAATTTGTCACAAATAAGAGATAATCATGTTGCCTGTGCATGCTTACTCCTACAAGAAATGAATGGGTAAAGTGCACTATAGTTTGTCTTTGCAATGGGTATTAATCACTGAGAAATTATGATAGCATTCCTAGAATATTCAAGGGAATCTAAAGAAGCAGAAGAAAGTGGCCTAGCCCATAATCAAGTAATCTAAATAAATAATGTAATCATGAAAGTGGTGAATTAAAATGGAGAAAAAAATAAATATTTTTAGGATGAGCTCATTATAAAGATTGCAATCACATCATCATTTTAGGTCAGTGATGGCGAACCTTTTAGAGACCGAGTGCCCAAACTGCAACCCAAAACCCACTTATGCATTGTCGGGTGCCGGGTGGGTGTGGCCCATTAGGTGGGTGTGGCCCATTGGGTGGGCGTCGCTGTGGTGGTAACAGCAGACTAGGTGGAACTAAAAAGTTCAATCAATCAATTCCAACTTTGCAAGAACTTTTTTTCCCCGAGAGAAATTGAAATTGACTGATTGAACCTTTTTTTTTTTTTTTTTGTATACGGCGGCAGAGGCCTAAAGCGAAAAGGTTTTATAAAACCCAGCTGAAGACCTAGGACTGGAGCGGCGGCGCACGTGCCCACAGAGAGGGCTCTGAGTGCCACCTCTGGCACCCGTGCCATAGGTTCGCCACATTTCTTTTAGGTCCTCCCCCATTCTGTAATTTATTATAATCTGTAATTTCACTCTTCCATGGCAGTCACACTGCTCATTGTTTTGTATTTTAATTTGCTTGAAATCTGTGCACATTAGTTATGACAAGAAATGATAAATCTGTTTCTTCTTTGATACAAAGGTCAAATTAACCTGAATGTGTTAGTTTTCACAATTGTTTCCTTTCTCAGGACAGAACTAAATGTGAATAACAGTAACAGATTTAGAAAATAAACTCTATGTGCTTTGTTCAAACATTTTGTGGAATAATTCCATTTAATTCTGGCTAGCCATGGCATAGATATTGTTTGGAAAGTTACCGAGGTGAATATACCAAGTATGCATTTTTAAGATCAGTTATATTAGTTAATTTATTAAAACATTTTTAAGATCAGTTATATTAGTTAATTTATTAAAACATTTCCTACCGGTGGACTTTTGTTACAGATGTCTAGATGAATATAACATATATCTATGATATATTCAGATTTGGGTTTGCACTTGTTCTTCTGAACTGATAAGCAGAAGTTTATGTGTTTGATTTACCAAGAGCTGATTCAGCATGATCAGTGGTAAGGGATGCTGACAGTTACAATTTAACAACTTTTATAGGGCTATGAATTCCACAGTCTTGCTAATATCCACTCATTTGTGACTGCATCCCATTGAATTTGTGGGAATGACTTCTTTTTAAAACTATTGTATCGTGCCTCTACATTGAAATATATAGGTCAGTGGTGGCGAACCTATGGCATGAGTGCCAAAGGAGGCACCCAGAGCCCTCTCTGTGGGCATGCGCGCCATGCCCCGGAGATGGCAACCATCCCTTTTCAACCAGCTGCCCGCTAACTCACCGAGGTCCCATATGGCCAGATGTATCCCAGCACCCATGCGCTCACTGGCCTCTGTGTGCAGGGGCTGATGATGTCAGGCAGCAGCCGCCCCAACCTGCCTCACCTTGCCCTGTGACAATGGCATCTCCACCCTGCCTTGCCTTGCCTCGCTCCACCCCACAGGACAAGCCTCCTGCCCACTACCTCACCTGCCAGAGACCCCCGGGATCTCCAACCCTGCCTGGCCCCCACTGGCGTCCCTCCCCATGAGCAACATTGAGGTGATCACGTCCACCTTGGCCACACCCACCCAATCTGCCATGATCACCACAGCCACGCCCACCAAGGGACCACGCCCACCTGGCACCCAGCGATAAATAAGTGGGTTTTGGGTTGCAGTTTGGGCACTCGGTCTCTAAAAGGTTCGCCATCACTGATATAGGTTCACGTAGCAAAGCTATAATCTAGACCAGGGCTTTTCAACCTTTTCACCCATTGTGCCACTTTTAGGATATGGCAACATCCGAGTACCACCAGTCACCTAGCAAGGTGTCAAAAACTTGATGACCAAAAAAAAAAGGGAAAAAAGTGATAAAGTACAGGGAGTCCTCGACTTACAACAGTTCACTTAGTGTCTGTTCGAAGTTACAATGGCACTGAAAAAAGTGCCCCCCCAAGCCACAGCTGAGCAAGACACCTGCCTGCCCGCCTGGCTGCGTTCTTCCTCCTGTCCGAGGTTTTCATTGTTGTGAGCATTTCTGTTGAGGATTGGCAGCAGGGGTGGGATGAGGGTGTTTGGTTTTTATTCCCCCCCCATTTGCTGGGTGGTTGCAGCAGGTTTTGGTCACTTCACATGACCCTGGGACACTGTCATAAATATGAATCAGTTGCCAAGCATCTGAATGTAAATCACAAGACCCTGGAGATGCTGCAACATTCCAGCTGATCGGCGCTTCTTCTGGGCTCAGCAGAAAGCATCAGGATCAGTGCTGCTTTCCAGCTGATTGATGCTTCTTCAGGGCTCAGCAGAAGCGCTAGGATCAGTGCTGAGTTCCAGCTGGAGCGTGGCGCTGATCCTGGCACTTCCGCTGAGCCCTGACAGCCCTGCATCTCCAGCCATCTCTCGCTCAGGCTTGTGCGGTGCTGCCATCGGTTCAGCTCATTCCCCTCCCCCGCTACCACTTTTCTAGGATGGTCGCGTACCACCTGCCAGGTACCAATGTACCATAGGTAGTACCCGTACCACTGGTTGAAAAGCCCTGATCTAGACATTAGGGAGTGCCAAATACACTAAAACCTATGATTTCCAAGTTGCTAGAAAAAGTTCTAGCTATTCTCAAAATGCTGTTGCAGTGTGCCTGTTCATAATAGAAATCTCCTGGGTTATTTAGCTAAAACATCTGAAATAAATAAGCAACTTGATTTAAAATGGGTATGGCAAAACAACCAGGCAACTAACCATGATAGCAGTATTCCAATATCTCAGGGGCTGCCATAAAGAAGAGGGAATTAAGCTATTTTCCAAAGCACCTGAAGGCAGGACAAGAAGCAACGGGTGGAAACTAATCAAGGAGAGAAGCAACCTAGAACTAAGGAGAAACTTCCTGACAGTGAGAACAATTAATCAGTGGAACAGCTTGCCTCCAGAATCAGTAAATGCTCCAACACTGGAAGTTTTTAAGAAGAGACTGGACAGCCATTTGTCCAAAATGGTGTAGGGTTTCCTGCCTGAGCAGGGGGTTGGACTAGATGACCTCCAAGGTCCCTTCCAACTTTACTACTATTACTATTACTAACATGGTGAGCATCAGAGCAAATGTTCTGGAAATGTAACATGTTCTGATTAAATGTACTTTTTCTCTGATTTTTCTACTTCTAGGTCAATTGGTTTATGGCATGCAGAGGAGACATCCTTCGTAAAAGGTTCAGATATAAAAGTGTTAAAAAGAAAATGTAAATTTGATATGTCAATCTTTGTCCGCAACTGATCTGGATAAAGACCATCAGGATCAAGGGAAACTAATCAGGTGCGGCAACATTCCTTTCTTGGGTTCCTTTTGTCCTTTTGCTATGCTTCTCTTTTATTTTCTCATGTGCTCCAGTGTTTAAAGCCAGATATGTAAACTCTGGTTTTCAAGGGATTGAGATTAGGAACCAAAAAAAGAAAATAGCTCTTAGTATAGTTCCTGAAGCTTTGGATTCTCAGATATGGATTTAGCTCTGATTTGAACTGAATAACATAAGTGTGCCCATGTTGAATCCACAGCTTTCATAATGGGATATAAACTATATTTTATATACATTTGGGTATAAATTATATTTTGTGGTCAGTATATAGTCTAGCTCAGTGGTTTTCAGCCTTTTCTTCATCATGGACCCACCTTTAAAAATCTTTTGTGGCCATGAACCATGGTCAGGAACCACCAAGACTTAAGATTTAACACAGTGCTTCTCAACCTTTTTAATGCCGCGACACCAACCGGTCATAAGTCGAGGACTACTCACCCGGTCGTAAGTCGAGGATTACTCAACTGGTGCAGCACCGTTTGCAGAATGGGACTTTTGGTGGACTCAGCAGGGCAGAGACAGCCTGGACAAGTCCTATTGGCTTTTGAAAGCCAATAGAATTAGACTCTATTCAAGAGAGTCTATTCTATTGGCTTTCAAAAGCCAATAGAATAAAAGGGAGTAGCACAGCTAAGGAAAAGGGGGAAAAAATGGCGGACTGCATTGTTTGGTGACCCCCGTGAAATGGTCGTTCGACCCCAAATGGGGTCCCGACCCACAGGTTGAGAACTACTGATTTAACATATTAGCATACTAACATGCATCAAGCTTTTTTGGACCCCCTGTGATAACATTGCAGCCCCCTGGGGGTAGAGAACCACTTGTCTAGCTGAATGCATAAGAAATAATGTCCAACTGTCATTAAAGCTACTTCTAGCTGTCTGTGTGATATTTGTAAATATTGACTGCTTTTTAATTTTTTAACCAAATTACTTAGAATTACCAAATGTCTTATGCGTTATAGCATTCTAATCACATTGAATTTTGTTTAATCTTTTAGATAATCATGATTTTTCCAATTTGGAGTCTTTGTTTTATCTCGATTGCTGGAGCTAAAAGTCTTTCTGCTGAAAAGATCATTCCGTTTTGTGATGTTGCTCATTGCAATTTTCATAGGAAGAGTCTGCACACAATTCCACTGGGTCTATCAAATGCTGTTTTGGGACTGGACCTGACCTCCAATAGCATTGTGCATATTGGAGATGTTGATCTAAAGTTTGCAGTCAATCTTAGAACACTTTTGCTTCAATCTAATTCAATTCAGACAATTGACGACCATGCATTTGACTTCCTTGGAAAGCTGGAGCATTTGGATTTATCATGGAATAACCTGACCTACTTGTCACCCTTTTGGTTCAAAAATCTTTCTTCTTTACAGAAGTTAAACATAAAGGGGAATTCCTACTTGAAACTCGGCAAATTTCCATTATTTTCTGGCTTACAAAAGCTAAGATATCTATACTTAGGAAACAATAAATTCTCTACTTTACAGACAAAAGATTTTGAAGGAATTTCAGTTCTTGAAGAACTGGAAATTGAAGGACAGAGTCTTCAACAATATTCACCAGGAGCTCTACAATCTCTTGAGCGCATAAATCACATTATTTTGAATGTAACTGTCAGCTCCACATTGCGTCAGATTTTAAATGATGTTAAAAATTCTGTGGTGTTTCTTGAACTGAGAAATATACACCGTAACCTTTCACCCCTTATCGGTTATTTCAGAGAGATTCCAATGATTGCTCAAAAGCTTGGATTTAGAGATAGTGAATTTTTAGAAAATGAAGTTTTTCCCTTAATGGAAGCATTATCTGATATGAGCCAGCTACAAGAGTTAGAAATTATAGATAGCACTTTACAAGGCACTGGCCATTTCTATACTAGTCGGCGTATTTCCCGTAATGGACTTATAATAACAATTCGGAATTTAAAAATAGATTCGTTTTACTTATTTTCAGATCTTTCATCCGTGTGGTATCTTGTAGAGAATATTACCAAACTGACCATTGAAAATACAAAAGTTTTTCTAGTGCCTTGCAATTTTGCAAAAACATTCCTTTCATTACAGTATCTTGATTTCAATTCAAATTTGTTACAGGATTTGTTTTTGGAGCATTCATTGTGTCCAGGCAGTTGGCCTAAACTGCAGACTCTCAATGTTAGTCAGAATTCTTTAACCCATATTGATAGAACAGCAAGAAGTGTGGCTCATTTAGTCAGTCTTACTAACCTAGATATCAGTCAGAATAACTTGGAACAAATGCCAGAATCGTGCCTTTGGCCAAGAAGCTTGAAATATTTAAACATCTCTGGCTGCAGAGTAGAGAAACTGACAGGTTGCATCCCGGACTCTTTAGAAATTCTGGATGCAAGCAACAATTTCCTCTATGATTTTAAAGTGAGCCTGCCTCATCTTCAGGAACTTTACCTTAAAAATAATAGATTAAAAGTTCTGCCAGATGCTGCCTTCATCCCTCATGTAAGTTTTTTGACCATTAGAGAAAACAATGTGTTCATGTTCTCTGAGCAGGAACTGGAGACGTTTATAGAACTGAAGATGCTGGATGCCCGTTACAACAGCTTTCAATGCAAGTGTGAATTTGTTTCCTTTGTACAGTCTTATCCAAGAAGAGATAATATCTTTAGTGGTTGGCCTGAAAATTACATCTGTGATTCTCCAGATTATGTAAAAGGGGAGCAAATCGGAGTTGCCCGGCTACAACTGACTGACTGTCATTTCACTTCTTTCGTGTCCATCCTTTGTATTCTGATCATCCTGATCATTTTGGTGGCAGCCTTTCTTTGCTACAAGTTTCATGTCATCTGGTATATGCGCATGACCTTAGCCTGGCTTAAAGCAAAACGCAAGCCTCAAAGGACCCATGACCAGGCAGTCTGCTATGATGCGTTCATTTCCTACAGTGAACAAGATTCTGAATGGGTGGAAAATGTGATGGTCCAGATGTTGGAGCAAGCAAACCCTCCCTTTAAACTCTGTCTTCATAAAAGAGATTTTATGCCTGGCAAATGGATTGTAGACAATATTATTGACTCCATTGAGAAGAGCTCTAAAACCCTTTTTGTGCTTTCGGAGAATTTTGTACGGAGTGAGTGGTGCAAGTATGAATTAGATTTTTCTCACTTCCGTTTTTTTGATGAGAATAATGACACAGCCATTTTGGTCCTCCTGGAACCTATTCCAACAAAAACAATTCCGGAAAGGTTTTGCAAACTCCGAAAATTAATGAATACCAAAACTTACCTTGAATGGCCAAGTGATAAAGATCAACAACAGTTATTTTGGTTTAATTTGAAAATGGCAATAAAAGCCTAGCTGAGAAGTTGGTATAATAGGCCATTTCCATTAATTTTAGCAGCACCTCTGGTGTGAATAATTTGTTATGGTTCAGGAGATTCAGTCAGGCCAATCCATTAGCAGGAGGCAAGTAGGCTTCCAGAAGTTTGATTCCTTGAACCCCAGACATTTCCTTCATCGTGTAGTTTGACTGCTTTTCTCTCAGCAGAAATATCGGGAACATGCAACACTAGCTCTGTCCAAATTTTGCACATGTATCTCAACTCTTCAGATATTTATGAGAAAGAAGAAATCAGCAGGGGAATGTGGAGCAGCTAATGTGCTGGAAGATACAGTTCTAGCAAAGTCTTGAGAACCAATTGAGAAAGATTGAAACAATTGATAGATAACATTTATGGATTGCATTAAGCCATTTTTTGCTACACTATGCCATATTTAACAAGATTTTATCTGAATTCATGCATCATGCTAAGCTGTAAATCTTGATTTACAAATCACAGGGGCCACATAGTAAGCCAAACCCAAAGAAACTGCATTATGTTTAGTGTGATGTGTCCACTGAGTTAATTTAGGTGTGCCAAGCAAATGAGGCCAGCAGGGGAACCAACACAGATAGTTCTCAGTCATGATTAATTATAAAAAATAGCATCTGTTACATTCAGTGTTGAACAAGAGCATATACTATATGATCGTTTTTTGTTTAAATATTAAACAATAAGTATAACTATACTGTAACTTAAATCCTTTTAGAGCTTTTCTATTTTTTTTTTTTTTTAGGATTTGGTGATTGCTAAAAGCAAACAACCACTTGCTAGCACATAATCAATCAGTCAATTGCTAGATAGCATTTTATTGGTTTTTATTATCTTTCGAAAGCTCCCTGGAGCCATTAGAGAGAGGCAGCATAAATATCAGTTAAATACATAAAACAAATAAGTTGTTTAGTTGAACGTATCCTAAGGTGATCCATAAGCTAGGACTTCATGTCGTCTTCACTGTTTGAGAAAATGTTCAGCACATTTGCATTAAGCTTCATTTATTTTTTGAAGGGCAAAAAGGCACTTCCTGGAGGTATTTTAGTTTACTGATTGTAACATATGAAAAATGTATTTTCTGATAAAATTTTGTACTTACTGATTTAAATAAATATTTGGTACTTCTATATTCCAGCTATTCCTTTGGATCATCAAGAGATAGGATCTATAACACTGTTAAGCTAAAACACAGGGCTGTATCTAGTTTCCATTGGAGTCAGCCATTCAGTGCTTTCTATAGCCAACTTCTGCAGAAATAAAAATCTTTTAAAAATGACTTCTGTGGGAGTTAATTAAATTAAAATTAAATATGCCTTCAGGTGTTGTCCATTTATCGTAATTGTGTCTTACAAGTGTGCAAACTCTCTTGATTTCAATAGGAGTTGAGTGCATTTAATTCCATGGAATTGTGCCCATAGTTAATTCTGACAAGGGCAAAACATTTTGGTAATGCTAAGAATCATATAGAAAAGCTGACAAGACATTTATTTCAATGCAGGATATTTTCAACATCTATTTATTGAATTGTGATTGTCAACGTTTTTAATCTTTGGTGGTCTGACCATCACTACCCAAACCCTTGCAGAGAAGGGGGGGGATTAATACTGCTTAAGTTTACCTGCAACCTGGCATGTAGATTTCAAAAAAGAAAAAACTATAAAGGAAGCCACAGAAAGGCGCAGGGTTCTTGATTTGGCAGGAGATGCTGCTGGAGTGAGAGACGACTGGATGAGGCATGGATTACAGAAGGCACGGCTAGAAGAGACAGAAGGCAGTCAATCCACGGCCAGGGAGAAGAAATAGGAAGGTGCCTTAGGCAGCTAAGGCCAAAGAACAACCTGCAGAAAAGAATAGCACGCATCCTCAAAAGCCAACAGTGCAATTCAAGTCTGGACATTAGTGGGGTAAACTCCTTGTCATTTAGATGTTGGAGATCTTAGCAAAAGAATATTGAGAGGAGAGGCTGTTAACACACCTAGGCCTGTAGATAAGTAAGTGTGGGAGGAGTAATTTTTTTTTAACAGAAAAGCCTTTTTATACTGTTGGCTGGGGATGCTAGAAATAGAAAGCTGCATATCTTAATGTTGACCAGTTGAGAAACACTGCATAATGAAAATAATAGAAATGTAAGTCATTTAAATTAATTTCTACATATTAAGTTATATTTATGCTTGGTTACTATACACACATATCATAAAGTCTTGTAAATATACTGTGTACACAGGTAGTTCTTAAAGCAGTTCATTTAGTGACCAAAGTTACAATAGCACTGAAAAAAGCTATTTATTTCACACGCCTGTTGCTGCATCCCCATGGTCATGTGATCAAAATTCAGACATTTGGAAACTGATTCATATTTATGACTGCAAATCCTGGGGTCATGTGATCCCCTTTTACGACCTCTGACAAGCAAAATCAATGGGGAAGTCAGATTCACTTAACAACTATGTTACTAACTTAACAACAGCAGTGATTCACTTAACAACTGTGACAAGAAAGGTCATGAAATGGGGCAAAACCCATTTAACAAATGTCTCATTTAGCAACAGAAATTATTGTAAGTGGAGGGCTACCTATACATTTGCAGTGTAATAAAGTACTGTCTTCATTCTGCGCTGAGGTGTGTCTGGCTTCATTCACATACATGCTCACCATCTTGACAATACTTAAAAGATTCCAAGGAGATTTTCACTGCATTTACAAACCTATATAAAAGTTGCTTTTGTAAATGCGTTGCAAAACTGCTATATTTTTATAGTAGCTATACCATTGCACTTTAGACAGCAATGAATGAAGGTGAAGTTTCGTTCTCCAAGCTTGTGGGTTGGTTTCTGAACAGGCTAGATAACTTCTTCAGTGATGTTTAGGCAATAAATCCTTCAGTGGCTGCCCCATGCTTCATGGGATCAAGGACAAACATGAGAACACCTGGCAGACAAGTGTAGGTGGAGCTCATTTCAAGCCAGAGTCAAGCAAATGCTTGGGACGAAAGTTGGTAGTAGTAGACCAAGAGGGAGTGTGAAGATATTGAGTCTACTGCAGGGTGAGATGTGCAAAGTGAGAAAACAAGAATGGAATTACCAGGGGGAAAGTGTGAGATGTTCGACAATGAGTTTGCTGAGAATGAAGAAAAGGACCTCAATAGCAATACCTGTCGTACCAGGCTAACATGTTCTTCCAGGGTTGTAGTATAGATAAGAATATCGTCGAGATATACGAGGATATAGGTGCCCCGAACGGCATGACCCGGTATTGAAAACTACCTAACGGGCAGTTGAACGCTGTCTTCCACTCCACGGCATATTCGTACTCGATAGTACGCCTCCCGAAGGTCCAATTTGGTAAATATCTGCCCTTTCCCTAATTGGGCTAGTAGGTCTTTCATGAGCGGGAGTGGGTACTGATGTTCAACACACACAGCGTTAAGACCCCGGAAGTCGACGCAGAGATGAAGCAATCCATCCGCTTAGACTTATATACCACTTCATCATGCTTTCTAAGCAGTTTAGAAAGCAGAGTCAGCCTATGGCCCCCAACCATCTGGATTCTCATTTTACTGACTTCGGAAGGATGGAAGGCTGAGTCAACTTTGAGCCAGTGAGGATCGAACCACTGCCGTCAGCAGAATTAGCCTGCAATACTGCATTCTAACCACTGCACCACCACGGCTCTAAAACAAGATCAAATTGTCTATGAAAAGAGCACATACTGTAACAAAACCTGGTCAGAAGCAAGCAACTAATGCTATTTACATTCATAAAGAAGAATCTAATTGCATACATCATTGACAGCTGTAAGCCTGCTGTTAAATATTCAGTAATGAAAGTGATGTTAAGTGTTCCAATATTATACAATGCTCCAGAGTGATTTCTGAGGAGATTTGGTAATTAGATCTGAAGAAAAATCAGTGGTTTTTCAAAAATGTAAAATTGTGGTGAAGTATAGCTGAATATGGTAGCCTCAAATAGGTACATTTTTATAACAAGTCTGCTTTTGCCCTCCATGTTTTATGTTTTCCTAGAAAGGTCAAGTTTGGAAAGCCTTTACGTGGAATCTGCCTGTGTATCACTCGTGTGGTTTTATTTATGGCCAGTAAATAATTTCATCTTTTCTTACCATTCACTCCCTTTTTTAAATCTTCCTCTCCTTACTTCTTTCTCAGAACTACACTCCATGCAATGTGAGCTGTGATCCATGAATGCTTATGATATAAGAAAAATTTTAAAGAAGGCTGCCCTCCTGAAAGTTTATCTTTTTTTTTCCTGTTCATGTTCCTGTTTATAGACCACCCAAAGACATTTTCTTTCCCGAACAAAGAATACTGTGGCCATTATCTTCATTTCAAAAAATTAAAAAATCAACTGGATTCACAATTGAACTTCCTATAAAGGACAATGGTTTTGGACAAGAGGCAAGAATGGGCAAGCCATAGGGCAGAGGTAGGCAACCTTGGCTCTTTTATGACATGTGGACTTCAACTCCCAGAATTCCTGAGCCAGCCATGCTGAGGGGAAAGGGAGAGGTTTCCAAGCTGGCTCAGGAATTCTGGGAGTTGAAGTCCATGAGTCATAAAAGAGCCAAGGTTGCCTACCCTTGCCATAGGGGATATGAGATCACAGCTTCCATTAGAGACTCCCAAAGCGCCCTTAAATTATAGGATTTGAAAACCATCAGCAACATTATCAATCTTTAGTATCATGATTAGCTTCTTAAGCACTTATAAACTGAGGAGCTCTAAACTGATTAAATGTCAATTTCAGTTGTGTGATCCTAATATTTCATAGGGAGGTAGACAAGATACACTGAATTTGCTGTCCCTATACTTTAATAATGAGATAACAAACATTAACTGAAAAGCTAAGATAGAAACTGGAAAAAGTCTTAAAATAATATTATGCAGACTTCCTCTATTAATATGAATTTTGACTCCTGGAATCCTGACAATAGATGGGAAATTTTGAGAGCCAAAACCTGGGAGTCACAGAGTTTCCAGGTCAGGAAGAGCAGATGGAGTAGCTCTGAGTTGGTAACTTAAAAAAAAGAGGGGAAAGAGGAAGGCCACTGGGATGCAGTAGAACAAAAATCACTAGAAAGGATGTTTAGTTTATGGCGTTACCCATTTTCATAACTGAGACAACTGTTATCCTTGCTCACTAACTTTAAATGGAAGATACGGTTTGCTGGATTTCAATTCCAATGGTTTAGAAGTACATAACTTCTAATAAGCTAACAATTTATACCAGAATTTGAAACAAGAGTAGTTTCCATTCTTTCATTCTATTTTAGTGAAATTGGCTGAGCACTCAAGTTCTTTTAACTTTAGCACTTTGACTACCCCCTACTGGATCATTTGTGAGATACAAATGGCATCTTAAAAATAAATTCATTTTATTACAAGATACACTTTTATCAAAGTCTAGACCAGGGGTAGGCAACCTTGGCTCTTTTATGACTCGTGGACTTCAACTCCCAGAATTCCTGAGCCAGCCATGTCTAGACTCCTGAAAATCAACACATTTGTTAGTCTCTAAAACAATGTTTCTCAACATTGGAACGAAGATGTGTGCTATCAACTCCCAATTTCTCAGCATCCACAGCTCTTCATGATGTTAAGATTGTTCTAAATACCTGCTGGCTGGGCAGATCTGGGAGTTGAAATCCACACATCTTCACATTGTTAAGGTCAAGAAATAATGCTCTTAAGGATCACAAGACTCTTTGTCTTGCCCCCTACAACAAAGAGCACTGTTTTCCCATTTGAGTTTCTATGAGATGCTGCTCTAATAGGCAGCATAGCTGCTATATAGATAGAAAATATTGTTGGATTACTTGTGTTTTACTATGACTCTTTTAACATTTAAAAAAAACATTCCTGTTGCTTACAAGAACTAAAAAAAAACAAGAACAGGGTTTTTACTTCAGTTGTGCATACTGCCCACCACGTGCTTTCTGCATGGTCCCAGAGCTGTACTAGAGAGGGCTAATGGGTAAATGTTTAAATATTTGTATTGGGACAACTTTCAAGGGATATTTCATGCCAACGTTCTTATGGAGAGCTGGGATTTCCTGCACTACAGCCCTGAAATCCATCAAGGAATATGATTTGAGTATCTATCTTTCATTGCTTATAGAAAGGAGCAGAAGTTGCTTTGCTTTTCTAAGAGTTGGAATCCTGAATAAAAATCTTTGTAGATTGTATTCTTTGGGTCAAAGGGTCACAATGTTTAATACCTATACTTTGGAAGCAGGAACAAGGACAATATTGGATATAAGGATCCATATATTCTACACAGGAACACCCTTAAATGAGTAACATGCAAAAACACCCATCACTGACATTGTGTGAAAGATATTTGATCCTTTCTTTCTAAAATTAATGAAAAGAGTTCACTGCAAAGTAGATGATATACTACCATAAGAAAGAAAAATACGCAGTTGTTCATCACAAGAAAAAGGCTGAAATGAAAATAATAGTGTGCAAATGTAAAAAAAAAAAAACCTGCTGAAAGCATTTTAAACTAAGTTCTTCCCATCAGTACTCTTGAAGAATAAATTTTATCTGTTTTCTTCTTCAAATTGTTGCAACAGAATTGGGATGGGACAACCAGAATACTGATTCTCTGGCACATAACAGAGTCTCAATAAACCGTTACTAAGGAAGTGTGTATGAAAAATCTCCCCTGAAATGGTTGTAATTTTCCATGCCAGCATATAAAACCTGGCAAATTAAAAGGAAAAAAATCCTGGAAGAAAGCATCAGTAAACTGCTTCCATATTGCTTACAAGAGAACTCCATGGACCAGCTACCAGAAATCATGTACTCCAAAAACATAAAACACATTTTTAAAAATAAAAATGATACTTTACACCTAACTATGAAAAATCTGGAGTGCCGAGTTTACTTCTGTATGTCAGACTAACCAAAGAATAGATGTGAAAAACTGTGTAGTGAGAATTCTCTTGCCTTTCCAAGTTTGACAGGCCAAGAATCCATTACAACTCTGAGTCCAATGCAGCATTTGGGGCTTCCTCACTCAGAAGATCTTACCTTCTTTAATAGTCTTATGCCCAAGTAATTCAAATTTTTTATGCAGTATCCAGTGTTATAGGAATTAAAATTCATATTTGAGTGAATATGCTATTACATGATGCAGGATTTTATTGAAGCACAATCAATCATTGTTTAAATTATAGCATAATAATTTAGTATACATCAGAAATTTATTGGTAGTTAACTAGTAATAAACTATATATTTTGTGAATGACTATTTAAAAGCCTGGTTAAGTTCTACTTTGGAGATTACCTGTTTTTCACACATACAGTATACTTAATAGATCTGATTTACTAAGATGATCCAAGATGTCAGTTGAATGTACAACATATACAACAACATTTCAACTAGTGCAGCATTTTAACTAACTTAAGAGGCAGTGAATTTCTCATATATCTTTTATTACAAAGACGACAAAAAAGATACAATAAAAATGGATCCTATGGATTTCAGAGCTGTTTTCACAAAATCTAAAGACAAAAACACAACAAAGTATAAACTGTAATGTAAAGTTTATGTACAGGAATATAAGGTTTATCTGGAATATTTACAAGGTTTGTTAAAGTAATATTTTACAACTCTTTTTTCAAATAATCACTACTTTACAGTTAGGCTACAGAAACTAATTTGTGAAGCACAAAACAGAGTACTTCAATTTAGCAATAGCACTTAAAAATTATATGCCGCTTCACAATGCTTTACAGCCTTCTATGAGCGGTTTACAGAGTCAGTATATTACCCCCAACAATCTGTGTCCTCATTTAGCAACCTCGGAAGGATGGAAGACTGAGTCAACCTTGAGCTGGTGAGAATCGAACTGCTGGCAGTCAGCAGAATTAGCTGCAATACTGGATTCTAATCACTGCACCACAACTCTACTAATTTAAAACAATTAGTACTAAGCTTTCTATAAAATATTATGTGCAAATGAGTAATACGTATTTATGAATGTAGTTCTTGCACAAGTAGCACATGCGCATGGATAATTTCTCTATAATTAATAAAACTAGATAGCACATTCCTGATTAGATAAAATTAGGCCTAATAGTCAAAGGTAAAACAAGTCATTGTAAGAGCTATAGTCTATAGCAAGCTTCCAATGCAACTATGAATGTTGATAGACGCCAGTCCCATAAAATGCAGTCACTTCTCCACAAGAAGTGTGCATGAGATTTCAGCCTAATGCACACCAAGCTCATGGGCTTTAGAGGCCTTAAACACATATAATTCTGCAGAGGATTTGAGGAAAGAAATTCTCAAAGTATTCTTGAGCTGTTTTTGCTTGTCTTTGAGTCATAATTTCTGTAAGAGTAAACTGTATACAAATAAAGTTTGTCTTTTAAATGCCAGGTAGCAAAATAATTCCCACTTAGTAAAAACTTGGACATTGTTATCTGCCACATTGTGATTCCCACATTTGTTTTTACTTGAACAAAATCAAACTTAACAACTTGATTCCAGTTCCCAGATGGACACATAACCAATGCAGAAAGGTTAACCAGACAGAATGTATGATTAGAAATGAGTATGAATAATTAAAAGAGGATCAAATTACATTTTGCAACAATCTAAATGACACAGTTTGGAAATAATTATACAGAAGAAAAATTATGTTTGGGGCAACTATAGTTTATTAAATGTACACAATTAGAAGGGGGGGAGTCTCTTTTCTTCTTAAAAGAAGTGGCTCCTTCATGCTGCAGGGCATTTATGGCTGCGGAAAGAAGATGTAAAAGAACTTTAAGGCATGGCGACTAAAGGCGACCAGAGACGCCAACAATTAGCACTGCAGCTTGCGGATGCTGCGTGAAAACCTCTTAAAGGCTCGCTGGCCTTTCTGCCATCGCTTGACGGAGGTGATCACCAACTCCCCAGCCAGCCTCTGTCCCATGACTAAATATGGTGCATTGATATCGTTCATCTCGTCACAGGTGCACTGGAGGCCGCCTTTGAGCCAAAGCACTGTCTTCTTTAGATCCCTCTCCGTCACCCCATTCAGCTTGTAGATGGTTTTGCTCTTTGTCTCCGGAGTGATCTTGGTGTCTCCATTGATGTAGGCGATCTCCTTCACTTTTATCTTTAGAGCTAATAGGGATAGTGGGGAGCAGAGCAGGGGTGGGGGAGTGGGGTAAAAGAAAGGAAGAGAGAGAAGGAAAGATTTTTTTTTTTCTCCCTCTCATTCTGCCACATAAAGAGAATCCAGCGAGGCAGGTCTTCTCTTGCTAATTAAACTGTCAGTTTCTGACAAAACGGTCAGCAGGTGGCTCCATTTCTAAAGGCATCAAGAGCATGAAAGTAATTTCAGTCCGAATCAATCTTGGGGTGTATTTCTTTCACTTTCAAAGAAAAAAATAATGCCTTTGCTAAATGAGCCTCTTCCTCTAGATTTTGTTGGTTGTTTTTGTATGTTAAAGTTTTAAGAGTGGCACAAACCTGAAAGTGGGAAGGGGGAACAGCCATCTTTCCTGAAAATAGTTTGGCTTAATTTATAAAACTCATTGGTTAATCAGTGTATTTTGTCTATTGCATTTGAAAGAATGAGCAAAAATAATTGGGTTTTATAGATAAATTAGATTTGGTGCAATAATTGAAAAGAGGAAAATAGTATCATGCTTACCAAGAAAAGCCAAACATCTGCTGGTGGATATGTCAGATGAAAACTCAATACTAGTTAATGAATAATAACTCACTGTCTATGCTATTCTTTAATGATAAGGGCATTAATCCCTATACATTTGTGATCACGCTGTAATGAAATAACTATTGCAGTTAGAATATAATAAAATTACAACATGCATTTATCATTTATGCCTGTTAGTTTATGACATTTTACCTGTCTTATTCAGAAGGATTTTCTAAATATTCTTATCCCGAATTGATATATTATTTGTCTTAACTCTGTAAAGCAATTTTCTGCTTTCTTCACAGCCAACGCTCATTAGTTCCTGGCATTTCAGATTTTCAAAAGACAGATTCATCTCTTTTTAAGAAAAGATGCCAGTTTCCTACCAATATGGAATGTAAAAAGTCTGCCACAGTTGTTGGGGGCTTGTTGTAAATTAATGTAACAATGCTGTACATTTACAATTGTTATACCAGCTTAAAATTTGATAGTGAAGACTATCAAAGTGTTTCTCAGGTTTCCTCTCATATTTTTGTGGTTGTCTTGTATTCTGGAAAAGTCAGGAGCAATATCTATTTTATTCTTCCCATGAAGCCCTCCCTCCCTCCCTGCTGCATAAGAAATGGGGACTGGGCAGGATAAAACCTGTTTTCAAATTCATAGCAGGACCGAAGCAGAGGCCTCCCTCCTTAGCCCCCTTCCTCTGCAGGTGGGCAGAAGGGAAACAGAATGAAACCAAGGCCTCCAGTATGACTATGCCACTGGGCTCCATTTCACATCAGCAACAAATCACAAAATTCAACGCTGCCACATTCATATTATTTATATTTCTGCAACTCTGAAATACCTGATATTGCAGTTTCAGAGGGTAATAAAAAAGATATACAGTATATGCCTATATACAACTAGCTAATTCCTGGATTCTGTTACTATCTCAGGCAGAGGTAAGCAGCCTTGGCTCTTTTATGACACGTGGACTCAAGGAATTCTGGGAGTTGAACTTCACGAATCATAAAAGAGCCAAGGTTGCCTACCCATGACCTAAGGCAGTGGTTCTCAACCTGTGGGTCGGGACCCCATTTGGGGTCGAACGACCATTTCACGGGGGTCGCCAAACAACGCAGTCCGCCATTTTTTCCCCCTTTTCCTTAGCTGTGCTACTTCCTTTTATTTCTATTGGCTTTTGAAAGCCAATAGAATAGACTCTCTTGAATAGAGTCTAATTCTATTGGCTTTCAAAAGCCAATAGTAATTGTCCAGGCTGTCTCTGCCCTGCTGAGCCCGCCAAAAGTCCCATTCTGCAAACGGTGCTGCACCAGTTGAGTAGTCCTCAACTTACGACCGGTTGAGTAGTCCTTGACTTACGACCGGTTGGGGGTCGCGGCATTAAAAAGGTTGAGAACCACTGACCTAAGGTGACCAAATGTAAAAACCAGTTGGTTTATATAGACAGAGGTACTGGAATTAGAATCACTGGTAAAACTATTGAGAACTAAACCAGTTTTTGTTGTCAGCTATGGGACAACCAATATCCATGAAGGAGAACAGGATCCCCCCCCCCATTCAAGCATCAAGATTAGTTTGGACTTCCAGCTAAGAAAACTTTAGAATCCCATTTCTTTCTACCTAGGAAGGAGTTGAGGCCACAGTGGACAAAGTTGTAAAGAAAAGAGAACAACCATAGAAAGGCCAGAGCACCCAACATGTTTATTACAAAGAGCAGTTCTAAACAGCCTCCTAGTCTGATAGACTAAATAGAAACCTAATCATAATCCCATGATTAGGTGAATTAGGATCCACTGTTGAAATAAAAGCTTAAATGCATTTGCCATTTAAAACTGACCACAACTTCCTTGCTTACAACACGGATTATTATTGCAATCAGCGAACAAAGCCCCCAGTTTTCAATCAGAGCCTCTCCCTCATACTTACCAAAGTCATTTTTGCACAAGTTTTCTACAATTTCGTTGTCATCTTCATTCTTGTTTTTGCAGGCATCACAAACTTTTGGCACTGCAAGGAGTAAGTTTTAAAAGAACCTTTAGAGGACTTTCAAAGTGCAAGCATTATTCCAAGTCACAGTGCAACTTCAGAAGTAGAAGCTCACAGATCCCAGATCTGTGTAATACTGTAGGGTTGTTTAAAGCTATTATCCTATATAGTACACGCTTAGTTTAAATAAGCTCTTATCAGGATCCTAATCCTGTCATAGCCTAAACTTGTTCTTAAGAATGTTTATTCAGGATTCCCCAGTTTAACCTTCCACAGCTTAATATTCATAAGGTCTACAGTTGCAGACCTAGGGGATTACTTTGAATAAATTTGCTTAAGAACAAGTTTAGGAGAGGAGAGGATGTGGATAGGACAATTTTAAACACCCATATTTAAAACTACAGAAGATCTTACTGAATCCAATCTAGCTTCATTCTGGTAAAGAGACTGCGCTGAACTTTCCAAATCTGGGAAAGCAAAATCTAAAATTGTTTTGGTTTCTACCATTAATGGTGTCTTGCAAATCAATTTTTTTTTTTTTTTTTGGTGCTGTGGTACTTTTTTGCTGTATGAAAATTTGAGATGTGATGTTCTAAAGTTCTTAGAAACGAATTTACATTATACGCTGTAAAGTTCATTTTATTTCTCCAAATTTATATCTGTGACGAAAAAAACATGGTATGTAGAAAGTTGATACTTTATCCTTTTAAATGACATTACAAAGAAGTATTCTTAGCAAACTTATTCTTCCTATGTATTCCACTGAGATGCTTAGGGTGGCAGCCTAAGACTGCAATCTTATTCATGTACTGGAAGGAGATCTTTGAATGATTTCTACCCAAGTAAAAGTGCCCCAAATCATTGTCTCAAAATATGCCCCAAATAACCATTTACTTCAAAAGAAAGCCGCTTGAACGTAGACGAGCTTCTAATTCAATATGAAAAAGACCAATTGCAGAGGAATTCTACTTTGATGCTCTAAAGATTTATGATAAAGTACAGTCTAAAGCTGTAATCTTGTCTTCCTCATCAGGAGAGACTTTCGGATTTAGTTCCAAGAGAGGCTGGCGCCACGGCCCCATTGCTAAACCTGCACAGCTGCTCTTACCTTCTCTAGGGGTCGGGAGGACGTGGTCGCTGCTAGCCAGGGGGATGCACAGGTCGTTGTCCTGGGGAAAGCGGCTGCAATCCAGCATGTCGGGCCAAGGGAAACCGAAGGCGGACATCACCGGGGCGCAGCTGTTCTTCACCTGTTCACAAAGCGAATGGCAGGGCTCAATAGTTTCGTCCAAGTCGACGATGCAGACGGGCGCGAAGAGGGAGCAGAGGAACTTGCGCGTGTCCGGGTGGCACTGCTTCTGCACCAACGGGATCCAGGCGCCCGCCTGCTCCAGCACCTCCTGCACCGTCTCGTGGCCCAGCAGGTTGGGCAGCCGCATATCGGGGTACTCGATCCCGCGGCACAGCAGCAGCGAGGCGGGGATGGGCTTGCAGTTGGACCGCTTGTAGGAAAACTCGGGCTCTCCGAAGAGGAAGAGCCCGCCGGCCGGGCCGAGGCAAGCCGCGGAGAGGCAAAGCAGACGCGGGAGAAGCTCGCCGGGGCGCATCTTGCCGAGGGGCGCGGAGGGGAAGTGCGCGCGCGCGCTCTCTGAGCGGGGCCCGTTCGGGAACCCCCGAAGCTGCCGGGAGAAGCGGAGGGAGCGACGGGCGGCGCAGAGCTTTCCCCTCCCGCCGGCCGGCCACGCGCGGCTTCCCCGAAGCGCTCCCGCTTCTCGACGGAGGCGCAGCCCGCCACTCTCCCCGCTGGAGCTCCCGCGGGCATCCTTTATGCAAATGGCGAAGGGGATTGGGAGGGCAAAGAGGCGGGGCTATCGGACGAAAAGGCGGCGTGGATTGGTCATCGCTTTCGCGAGGGTCGTGGCGGCTTCATTTTTCGGGGAGGGCGAGTGGGGGAGGGGGAGGAGCCCTGGCCGACGGGACCTTCTCATTGCGGGTCTTCGAAGACGCTGCCTCGGAAGGATCCTGGACGGCGCTGCTTCTGGTTGCGTCGCGGGACTGAGAGCGGGCGGCCCTCCGGGGTTTGTTCTCCATCACAAAACATCTTGCCTGGCTGCCAAAAAGGGAGAGAAACAGAAATGTTGCTTCTTTCACTACGGCTGGCGGTCCTGGCGCCACTCGGGAAGAGAAAAGCTCGGGCTTGAAGTCAGAGAGGCTACAAGCACGCCGTCGCCGTAGCGCTCGGCAATCTCTCCCTCCCTCCCGCTCTCTCTCTCTCTCTCTCTCCCTCCCTCCTTCCCTCTCTCTCTCCTCCCCCTCTGTCTCTCCCTCCCTGTCTCCTTTCTCTCTCCCACTCCCTCCCTCCCCCTTCTCTCCCCCCTCTCTCTTCCCTCCCTCTGTACCTTTCCCTCCCTCTCTCTTCCTCCCCTTCTTTCTCTCTCTCCTTTTCTCTCCCCCTCTCTCTCCCCCTCCCTCTCGGTCCCAACAAATTGGATCTGCCTCCCGCGGAAACGAAGGTGGAAAAAAAACCAACCGAAACCGGGGGGGGGGGGGGGAGAGACAGGGTCAAATACACAAAATGTCCACCAAAATGATCAGACGGTTCAATGCTTTCCTTTAGCAAGTTTAAAAGAATTCGGTTTCTTTACCTTAGAAAGAAAGATAACGGAACCGAAGCGTAGAAAACAGAGCCTGGCCTGGAGAAAGCGCAGGAGAGTTTCTCTTCCTTTCTCAAAACAGCAGAGCCGCGAAAGCCGAGGGAAATGCAGAAGTAGAGAAGAAAAGCCCTTGTTCAGAGAGCAGATCATTTAGCCTGAGGACTAGAGAGGTGAAGGGCCTCTAATTTGGATTACTACGCAAGTAGATATAAATGGGGGGGGCAGGTCTGTAAAGAAGTATTTTATCTGGAAGACTCTGCTGGGCTGGGTTCCAAATGCCACTTGTAAGAGAAGTCCAGCAGAGATGGTGGGATACTTCTCTTATCGCCTGATATTTTCTTAATATCACACATTTCATTGATCTTTTTTAAAAAAACATTGGTAAGAAAAAAGAACAATGCGGAATTTAAATTCAAAATGATTCAATATTTAATAAACTAAATATATGCTAATATAGATAGAAAAATAATTACAAAGAAATCAAATATATATATACATTGCTTACTGGTGTACACCGCTTAGAGAGTGCTTGCACTTAAAGCGGTATATAAGTCTCATAAATAAATAAATAAATAAATAAATAAATAAATAAATAAATAATGTAGTGTTCCCTACTTTCTTTCTACCAGTATAAAGTCAGTGCAAAAAATTTGTTAAGCCAGGCTTAAAAGTCTGAACAACATCATTACAGGAAAACAAAATCACCTTTTCTTATTACAATCCAGGCACAATGAACCCAAAGCTTCCCTAATAGATATAATTTAATAGCACATATGTATCTTTAAACTTTTAACTTCTTTCACAGAACCTGGTATACCATTAAACAAAGTTTCAGTAAAGAGAACTAGCAGTGGGTGTGACCAAAGTCTATGAATTAATGTACTTTCCATGTGATTGTGCCATGGCAACATAAGAAAAAGGACAATAGCCAAACTTTTGAAAACATTCACTGGAGAATCATAAAGTTTTGTTGGGTTAACCCATTTTTTAAATTATAATTGGCATATTTCACATTTTTTAAAACTCAAGAACTTGGTATTGTAATATATGATCCCCTGTTCAAAATTTCTTTTATGTAATCCAGTGTGTGTGTATGTGTGTTTGTGTGAAAGAGTTGTATTTTAGTTTTGCTTCTATGAAAATCTTAAATATGTGTAAATCTAGTAAATTTAAGAGGCTACTAAAGCATGCAGACAAAATAAAGACCATAACAAAACTAATGATCTAACTATATTCTACCATGCAATTTTTTGGTAGATTATATTCCAGTACTATCAAATAAATTTTGTAATGTGAAGGATCATGCTAACGGTTTAAATGTTCATGAGAAAATTTTAGGAAGATCAATTCCATTTAAAAGACCATCAGTCTGCTCAAATGATATTTCTGTATTTGCATTAATATAAAGCTGAATAAAACTGGAAATTATGTAATAGTTCCAATTTTTTGTCCCACTTGAGTCTCTTATGAGTCTTAGGTCATATTGTTTTAAACAAGAAACCAACAATTTGCAAATATTTCTTTTTCTGTTTCCAATACATCTGGTTTAATTTAATGAAAATTCCATATCCAAAGCATGCAATTGGCCTAGCTCCAATTTTAAAGGAATGATATGATTCTAAAGTATGCTTTTACACACTTCAGAGACAATTTCCATAAGTGCCAATCATATGTTTGGAAAGAAAAATAAACATATCAACATGTGGTGAACCGTTATGGATGATAAACTAAAAGAAATCTGTCAATAATACATCAAAATATCATTTCCCTTTAACCTGAATTATCTTGTTGAAAGTCAATGAATCTATTACTGAATTACAATTCTTGTCATGTAACACCTTCAAGTAGATTAACCATGGATTTAGAGATTACCCCTAGTCCAAATACAAAAATATGCCATATAGGAATTTAGTTCAGTTTAGTTTAGTTCAACTTAGCTTAATTTGGCTAAATTTAGTTGTATCCATGTATCAACATTAACTTCTCATATGCTTGCATGACAACAGTCCAACTCTTAAAGAGGAGTTTCTGTTTTTAAATTTTGTTATGATCTTCATTGTACCCAATACTAAATTAAAAACCAAGTACAGTTAGAAGGTCTTCCTGTAAATTGAAAATGTTTATCAAACAATTATATAAAATATATAAATGATTTCTAGTCAAACCACAAGTGCTTGTCCAAGCTATTTCTCTGTCTCCATTATTAACCACAACTGTTTCATAATAATATTCAGTGTCCAACATTTCTTGTGCAGCTATGAAACCTGAGGGTTTATATTTCTACCCCTTTGGCCATTTTTGAATTTCTACTTATCAAACTTTGATCCAGAGAATTTTTATCATCCCCAAAAGATTTTTTACTGTTTCTCTTATGGGATAAAATTAGTTTCTTGGAAAAAACTCCAAAACTCTTTAGGCAGAAGCAGTTTCACTTTGTAAACCATCTTTGCCCTATTAGATGTTCTTCACAGTTGTTGAACTTTTGAGGTTTGTCATTCCTAAGAACTAGTTTTCTGTTTAGATGAATTGTTTGTAAAGTTACACATTTTTCAACTTTACCCAATAAGTTTAGTATTGTGTTGAAAAAATCTTCTTTATTTTTTAGCCCATTTTATCTAGTTGAAATGATTACTTTCAAAACTGATTTCTGTGGAGCAGGAAACAAAAATCCAGTGAATTTTCCTAGGTGGGGCTACTTACTTGAGTTACAGAGAAGTTTAAAAGCATGCCTGTGAATATTCTGTTGCTGATTTCTCATTATTCCAGTCATTTTCAGTGCTTCTTCAACACATCCCATGAGAAGACATCTTGAGGAAACCTCTCCTATTGTTCTTTTCCAAATACAAACATGGATGTAGTTAAGGAGGCTGCATAATATTGGAGAAAAATATAACAGAAAATGCATGGATTCTCCTTGCAGCCCCATACAAGGTCACTTTACAATGATAAGGTAAGCTCCAAATTTCTGCCCAGAAGAAATTTTAAAGATTTTGAACATTAGCTGGGAAAACAGAAGCAGGGCAAGACTACTATTCTATAAGGACGTTGAAGGAGAATATATTTTGGCATAACTTGAAACTGAAATATGCTTGGTATTTTAAAGTTCGTCTTCATTAAATAATGCACATGTCTCTATGGCAATTGCATAGATGTTGCACTTTTCTTTAGTTCATATGTAATTTGATAACTGTATATTTTCTTCAGTAATTTGGGATTACTATAGTCTCAGGACCAGCTCTATTCTTACACAGTGAGGCCAAACTTTACAAAAATAGATTGTATATCGCTAGTTATTTTATATATTAACATTGTGCTTTGCTGCCAGGGAAGGTGAGAGAACCCATAAGACAAAAGGGTCCCAATAGCAATGAAAGTATTTCCTTAACAAGATGGGAGCCATGATGTTATTCTAATATTTTCATTAAAAAAGAGGAGGAAAGTCATATTTTCTTCTTTCTACTAATGATAAATGCAGAAAGGTAACTGGGTGATGCTACAGAATAAGGAATTTGAATTGAGATACCATAGCTAAACAAATTGAAAACATCAACACCCATTGGACCATTATTGGCTAAAAGAGGCAGCCATATTTTCTATTTTTCATCAAAGACTATTACTATAGATCAGCGGTTCTCAACCTGTGGGTCGTGACCCCATTTGGGGTCGAACGACCATTTCACGGGGGTCACCAAACAATGCAGTCCGCCATTTTCCCCCCCTTTTCCTTAGCTGTGCTACTCCCTTTTATTCTATTGGCTTTTGAAAGCCAATAGAATAGACTCTCTTGAATAGAGTCTAATTCGATTGGCTTTCAAAAGCCAATAGGAATTGTCCAGGCTGTCTCTGCCCTGCTGAGCCCGCCAAAAGCCCCAGTCTGCAAACGGTGCTGCAAGTTGTCTGCAGCGAAGGTGAGCTGTCTGGAAGCTTCCACCCCTCCCTGCTGAGCAACTACTAAAAATGTAAGTAAAAGAGGGCCAGGGGTGAGAGGTGGGAGGCCAGCGGGCGCAGGGAGGGTTGCTGGCACATGTGGGGCCCGGCGGGTGCCTTACCTCCCTTGGGCTAGGCCAACTGGTGGCCCAGCCAGTGGTCGCCCTGCGCCGTCACCGCCCCTTGCCAGCTACGCCTCGGCCGGCGCAGGGGGCAGCACCAAGCATCGCGGTGCTCCTGGGCAGGGAAAGTCCTTGACTT